TTTCATATGCATAACCGTAAGAACCTAAGCTACAAAATGACATTTTTTATTTATTTTTTTATTATGTAATATTTTGCAGAATTTTCGAAAAACTGCGTTCGGATACTTTCTTCCAGGTACTGTATTACCTTAATTTTATCTTTCAAAAGCGATATACTATTTAGGGCTAAATCTTTCCAATCCACTTTTTCTTCGAATTTTCCCTGTAAAAAACCCATATTTTTTAATGATAGTAGCTCATTTCTAATAAACAGTATCTGTAAATAAAGATGGGTTAATAAAATTCATAAAATAATCATTATTTTATTTTGCGCAAAGACCCATCCTAATCAGAAAAGCCGGCATACTATTGTCTTAAAAAATCATTATAAGTATAATGAAAGAGATTCTCGCTGACAAAGATGTTGCTTTTTCAATCTCATTATACTTATTAATGTCTAGACATTAATTCATCATTTTATCCCCTTATATATGAATATTAAAATGGCAAAAATACCTTATCAATATTTTGCAATGATTTAAGATGTCGTTTACATTCTTTATCGACAATTTCATCATCTATTTTTTTTATGATTTCCATGATGCATTCGATATCTTCTTCTTCGGTCTGAATTTTGAAACATTCCCACTGTTGAGTAATTATATTGGAAATAGTAATTTTATCTAATGATGTGTTTTTTAAGAACTTATATAAAGAGGTAAAAATTTCGGTTGATGGATCAAATAAGTTAGACATGATTTATATTCTTAATAGTGTAAAAAAATAGTAATATATTAATAGAAAACAGAATCACAAAAAAAAGCGACAAATATTCATAACTTCCCTATACTGCCCTTTTTAAACATTTTTGTGTTTTCTCTTCTGGTTTCATTTAGGTATTTCAAAACGATGGATTTCTGGAAGAAAAAAAAGATAATGTATAAAGCGATGCATGTATATACGCCAAGAATTCCCATTACAAAGAAAAAAGTATATATATGCATGAGGTAATTAATCGAATTTGGTTAATCGTACAAATAAACATGCATGCGTCATTATTATGATCAGGGGTTACACATATCAAAATTTTATCTTTACTCAGCCCCATTAAAATGTAGTACGATATAAATGATTATCTGATTGATTATGCGGGTAGATTATCAAATTTGAATTTCTTTTACTTTGCTAAACGATTAGAAAAATATGGAAAAGACACTCAACTATTACCTACCCGCATCTAAGAGTGGAGGCATAGAAAGATCCTTAAAATATATGTATGAACTTCCAATTTTCACAAAGAAGTAACGGTCAAGGGATTTATTGGAGGTAAGTACACTCTTATATATTTGAAGAGGTTATGGACTAAACGAAAGACTTAAATCTCACATCTTCAAGTATAATGGGACTTCTGATGTTTATGCAATGCGATCATTACCAAAGTAGATAGGAGTATGAATGAGGAGAATATCAAAGATGTTAGACGCCTTCTCAAAGAAGTAAACATTGGTATGAATCTTTATAATTACGTTTTATCAAACAAAAATCAAAAGAACTTATTTATTTCATCATGCAATATACTAATTGTATATTCACTGACCGATCGGTCAACCAAAGTCACGTGACAGAGGCGCAGTAAAGTGGATTCTTATTGGAACTCTTCTTCTATAGCATCGATTTCATCCCAACTTAATTTAGAAATTCTCAATGCCGAGTAAGATTTTACCCTTTGTATTTTATCCTCACCAATATTACTGAAAAGATCATAAATCTTCCTTGCTCTTTCTATTCTTTTCTCAATTGCGTTTTTCAAGAGGTCGGGCGGAAGCTGTTTTTCAATTTCTTTGAAAAGTTTCCTCTGAGCTCTACGCTCTTTATTAGTTCCCTTATACTCGGTTAACCTTCGAGTTTTTTTCCAAAAGTAAAGTAGCATTTAATAATTTCTTGATTTACATTCCCAATACATCCTTCGGCATTAATAATTGCATTGTATAGTTCAGCAAAATTACCTGGGATCATGGCAGATTGTGGAGCGATTTCATTCGATGAAGAACTTGGTGCCTTCAACTCCTCGATAAGCTTTATTAACATAGATGATTCTCCTTTCTTAGTTTTTGTTTTTTTACTAGAAGTATCTCCACAAGGTCTTTTTCGAGATCTTTCTTGCGTAGATGCTTGCGTTTGGGAAGTATTGTTTTCATCCTCCGATTCATATTCTATATCCATCCTTTCATTATCCTGCGAGTTTCCAGTAGAATTGACCAGGAGTTCTTTCTCCATTCTAGCAATTACAGATGAAACACCACTCGATGTGGAATCTCGTCTAGAAAACTCTTCAAAAATTTCAACATCTTTATCACAGTTGGGGAAAGGGCACTTGTTTGGTATGGTAATTAAAAGATATTTCTCAATACAAATCCTGTGGAAGACATGACCACACTCTAAGATCATGATTCCCTTAAGAGGGTTTAAAAAAATGTCATGATCACATTTTACACATTGGCTTAATTTTGGGACTTCTTTATCTTTGACAATACTATCTTCGAAATATTTCAAGATATTATATGCGAGATTTTTAAGGTTAGAAATTGACATAACGGAATTTTGAAAACAGGTAATCTTTACGGATACCTCTTCAAAATTTAGCTGTTTTTATAATATTAGTAGTTTCACAGGTTATACTATCAATGCCAGCTCTGCTAATAAATTAGTAATTTCGGAGCAATATTTCTCATGAATGGGATTAATTTATTCTCTATGGGTGATTGAGGATGATTTTCCTACAACATCATACATTAATTAAACGTTTCTATGGGCGATCCGTTACCTTTGCTGATCATAATATTTGCATAATTTCTCTGATAGGTAGGCCCTCATTTGATGTCAAAAAATAAGCTTAATCGTTTTTATACAACAACAATACATACAGACGCATTTTCAGATAAGAAACACTTATTATCATAACATTAAAATTATTTTTATATGCGACTAAATAGTTTTATACTATTATTTTAGAATGTAAATGATAGGTCCATCAAAATCCGGATCAAGATTGCAATTAACTTTTTTCGTTTTAGGCTTGACTATTTTTCTTGTAATTTAGAAATATTTTATTTTATTATAACAATCATGACGAGTAATACTAATAATAAAACTGATCCAAGTGAAATATTATACGAGGTGTTTTTATATAAGAAAAAGGATATAACAGCTATTCAGAAAAAACTCGGTATTATCAGTAATATAAATCAAACGGCAGTGACGGAGAGCAAGAAAGCGAAAAAACTTGCTGATTCATATGAATTGTTGTTAGAATTGGTGGGAGATTTAATACCTATACAGGAGAAACTTGGTATAAATATCAATCTCATTTTAGAAGCGGAACTTAGAAGGGATAAAGCCTCTTCAGATAAACCAATTAGATTATTTGATTTGCTTTTATGCTTAGAAGGTGATATAGTGATAATTCAGGAAAAAATCGGTGTTGTTGGCTATACTAATCAAGAAATGGCAGAAGAAGCTGATAAAAATGCGAGAGTGTACCTTCAAAGGTTTGAGAAATTTCACGGCCCCTTAGATGATGATCTAGGTGTGTTAATAAAGAAATCCGCTGATATAGGGGTAAAAAAATTTTGGTTTACTGGTGGGGGACTACCATCATTTCCAAATGTCTCTCCTCAACAATTGCATGAGATTTTTGTCAAAAAATTAGCTAACATCGATCAGTGTCCATGTCTAGAATCAGAAGTAAAACAAGGAAAATTATCACAGATGTATATACATCACAGCAAATAAAAATTCTTCTATAGCCAGAATAATGCGAGTCTGAATCGTCTAATGATGAAGAAGATTTTACTGTGGATGTGGTAAAAGTAATGAAGCATAATTAGTTATCATATGAGTGAAACCTCACAAGGTTTTGGTTTTTGCACAATTAATTTTATTATTATTATATAGAATTCTCAAGTTTTCACAAATACGATATGGATCAAATTTTTGATTTTAAAGCAATGAAAGATGCCGGAATTAATTTTTCAGTGGAGTACCTTGATAAGACAAAGCCTCAAATCCCTGATTCCTCAGATGGTAATATACCTAGAGATTATGAAAAAACAAGCGAATTTTGTTATGTAAAAAAATTAGTAAAAACACTTAATAAAAGTAAATTATTTTGATAAATGTCGGGAATGTAATAAATTATTTCATGATCCTAATTTAGGAAGTTATTGTGGAAAACATATACTAAATAAACTAGGTTGTTGTAGAAATCATTGTTGTATTGATGAAGATTTTGGTCACTGTAAGATACATTGCATAAAAAAAAATGAAACCCATAACCTATTCAATATTGACTCACAGAGTGGGGATGGTATCACATCTGACGATTAATAACTAATTATATCACTAATCAATTGCAGAGCAATGACTCTTTGAGCCTAGATATTCCCATATAAGTCATAGATATCCTCAATTTCATCATATTCTTGTTTAATCATAGGGACGATTGGCTTAGGTGCTGGAATAATTGGTCTGTCATTCATTACACCATAATGTTCAACTGATGAAGCATGACCTATTTTATGCCTACATGCCAATTGTCGTAAATGTTGATGGCCAGTATCATTCTTACCTCCATGTACTCTGGAAGCATGATCAGCTCCTATTTTTCTTAATATAAATGAGGTAATTTTATGCTGACTTAAGAATTGATTAAGTGGTACAACATTAGTATTTCCATCCTTATCCTTTAGCAAGAAGGGAAATTTGTCCGGTATTGATCTCTGAATCCAGATAAGTAATTCTCTTGCTTGTATTGGATTTTTTTCCATTGAGAGAAATGGTCAGGGTTCTTCTACTTCACCTTTATTTTTTGCATAACCAATACAGTACCAAGAATAGTCAGGATCATACCATGACTCACGACTTGGTTTGTATCGATTGATATAAAGATTTTTCACATCTGCCGATCGCATACATAGCATTATCATTACGTCTATTAGATTTTGCATTGAAGGAGGCTTGGTAATATTACATTTGTTAAGTCTTTCCTGAACCTTTTCCAGGTAAAAGAACTCGGGACAATCGTAACCATTAATTCCGCGAAGTATACGTTTTCTTGCTTGAATCTGGTTTGCTTCTTCAGTAATAAAGGGTACTTTTGTTGCCTCAGTAATGAGATAATCAGCTCCTAAGCTACGCAAATTTTTCCGTAATAAATTAAGACGAGAATTTCCAGCAACAGTAGTAGGAGCAGAAGAAGCCAAGTCATATGCTATTTCATTTATTTCTTCAGGTGAGAGATTATTTTTTATAATATCTTGGGCGATAATTTTAATGGGATCTCTTTCATCAACATGTCTCCCAGGAGCTCGAATAGGAATAAGAGTATCAGCTTGCTCCTTACTCAATCCCAACTCTTGGAAGTGTCTTTTAGCCTGATCTCTGGCTTTTTGGGCCTGCTCTTTTGTCTTACCATCTGAAAGTTTATTAGCCAACTCTTCGGTATAACTACTAAGCTGGGGTAAACTAGTTTGAGGAGTCAATTTGTAGTGATTTACAAATGATGTAGCGATTTTTGCCATGGTTAGTATATGTCAGTTGATATGATTGAGATG